TTCGTTTGGAGTTACAAAGGGAAGGCAACGCTAGTATCTGTACAGCGACCCTATCTACAAAAGAACTAACTTCAGCAGAGCAAGCATGGCGTATGACTACACTCAGGAGGAGTTTGACAGAGAGGTTAATGAGGTGCTGTCTAACTTTGGACCCAACCCCCCCAGAGAGAGCCGTGCAGCTCGCCAGGAAACTAGTAGGAGAATACCTGCAATCTCTAGTAGATTTGGCCAAAAAGGAGTCCCAGGGAGCCAAAGGTATCGGTCCTTCCTCCCCAGCGGCAGTGTGTACCCCAGGGAGCAGAAGGTGTTGTCCTTCCTCCCCAGCGGCAGTGTGAGTCCCAGGGAGCCAAAGGTGTCGTCCTTCCTCCCCAGCGGCAGTGTGTGTCCCAGGGAGCTGAAGGTGCCGTCAGGTCCCCAGCTGAAGGTGTCGTCCTTCCTCCCCAGCGGCAGTGTGTACCCCAGGGAGCTGAAGGTGCTGTCCTTCCTCCCCAGCGGCAGTGTGTATCCCAGGGAGCTGAAGGTGCCATCCTTCCTCCCCAGGGGCAGTGTGTATCCCAGGGAGCTGAAGGTGCCGTCCTTCCTCCCCAGCGGCAGTGTGTAGTCCCAGGGAGCTGAAGGTGTCGTCCTTCCTCCCCAGCGGCAGTGTGTACCCCAGGGAGCAGAAGGTGCCGTCCTTCCTCCCCAGCGGCAGTGTGTATCCCAGGGAGCTGAAGGTGTCGTCCTTCCTCCCCAGCGGCAGTGTGTACCCCAGGGAGCAGAAGGTGCTGTCCTTCCTCCCCAGCGGCAGTGTGTACCCCAGGGAGCTGAAGGTGCCGTCCTTCCTCCCCAGCGGCAGTGTGTACCCCAGGAAGCAGAGACCGTCTGTCTCGCACCCCAGCCGCAGGACAAAATATTGAAAGGGGAGACAGTCGGTCCCCCTCTCCACCAGCAAAGAGAGTGTCAGGGAGAGGAGCAGGTTACCCCCTCTCCCCAGCGGCAGTCTACAGTTCAGAGAGAGGAGCTTGTTACACCCTCTCTCCAGCGGCAGCCTAACCCACCAAGGGGAGATGTTAAGCCCCACAACTATGCAGATGGGACCGTGGTCTCTGCACCCGACTTACAGGGATGTTGGACAGCCTGTCCAGATCCCCAACTACCCTTGCAGGGACACCAGGAGGAGGGGGTAAGTACTATTTCCCCTCCCCAGCCAAGGCCTAACCCAGCTGCCCCAGCCGAAGCGCTGGCATCGGGGCAGAGCGCAGTTGGCCTCTGCCCCCCAAGCACCCAAAGCGTGTTACCCAGTGACCTCAGAGGAATACCCAGGTGCAGTAAATGTGTGTTGTGGGTGGGCTACTCATGTACTTGTTCACTGTGGGTGGGTTTATCGACTAACTCAGGCACTGACCGACAGGTCAGGTACCTGGTTAGTCTCCCCCCCAAAGGGGAGATGTGTGACGAAACGCCTTTTGTCACCGGATTTTCCCCTGGCTGTTTGAGGAGCCTGATTGCCAGCCTCTTGCCTCATGACTATGGCCCTGGGTTATTTGGCCCTTCAAGTACAATATTTGGGCATATTGAATTTGTATGGTGCTGCTGCTGGCCCTTTAAAAACCATCCCTGGACAGATTATGACTTTTAGGAACAATGTCCCTTTAAGACTGCGTAGCAGATTGCATTCAGGCGGTCTGCAATATTATATATGCTATTATGTGTTCGGTAAATTGTAAATGTGTAGGTTCTATGTGATAAATGTAACAGTATGTATTTTTATGTCTTTTGTTGTCCTTTGTCTGCCATGTGGCTAATGGAGTTTTGCCTCTGTCCTTGGAGATAATTGGATTACTTCTCAATTATCTCCAGGATAGAAGACTCTGAAACCAGTTTGGGCCAGATAGCCATGCTGCCAGCCAGGCCCCAAAAGATACTTGTGGTAACTTCTGAACCCCTGGTCGGATTCATGCCATTTTTTTAATATGTTGTTCCCCTGAATGGATTGATTGTGAATATGTAATTTTATGTGAATGTGATGTATGGTTTTAAAGTTATGAAAGTTGGGTAGAAAGTATGTTTTAACTGTATGTGTAATTGAGTTTTCTCTCAGGATAAGGGGAGGGAATATGTGGGATGTAACTAATATGTGATTGGTTGTTTTATACCTCCCTGTGGGCGGTCCTGTATGTGAAAGGCTGTAATAAAAACCAGGCTGGGTGTGCCAGCACAGGAGTTCCTGTTTTAACCCTCAAAGTGAAGTGTCGTCTCATTATTGGGGGAAGGATTTATTGTATGCTGTTCCAGTTTGACTGCTAGGAATGTAAACCTATTCGCATGTTTTTTCCTATTCGGCTGTATACAACATTCACATGCTTGAGAGCATTCACATGCTCCTACGGTTCTGTGGTTTTGATGTCTGCTGCAGTGCTTGGAGTCCTCAGGAAGCACTAGGAGCATCCTTCAACGGAGGTACCCAGTCGGGGTGTCAGGTGATCCGTTACAGGCATAATTTACAATTTTACCACATCAAGAGGCTTCATATTTTGCATGTTTAATGCTGAGGTTTTTGAAAAGTGAAGGAAGCATGAAAAGAATGTCTATTGTAAAACAAACAAAAGAACTCTTCCGGCCATTGGCAATAGCCAGCTAATCCATCTAGTCAAAGTCGTAGTAGAGACCAGATTGTGGGGCTTTACGTAAAAAAAAAATAGAGGCTGGTCCGAAGGTAAGTTCTGCAAAGGCGCAGTAACGTCGATGTACTGTAAGAATGTATTAACACACACTGAGGGGCTGCCTAAAAGAACAGATACAAAACTGTTGTACCATGACTCGAGATGTATCATGACTCGAGATAGAAAAGAGTACGCTGCACAGAGAGAAGGAAAAAAATGTCCACGTCGAACACCCAAAATGGGATGGAAATAAATAAGACATAACAATAGCGTAAGCTCAGCCGAAAGTAGTGGAAGACACAAACCCGTATTGTATGGCCAATCCTGAAGAAAACGCAGCACCAAATCCATATCCCAAATGGGGGAATATATAGGTGCAACATGTCTGGACAACTTAATACCTCCCAAAAAAATGACAAACCAGAGGATCCTGACTGGAATGCCTTGAAGGGAAGTCATCTATATAGCAGAATGCACCACGTTGATAGACCGATATCGACGGCCAAACTAGAAGGGAAGGCACAGATAGCACAGGATGATAGAAACAGGTGCTGTAAAGGGATCATAACCCCTCTTTAAACACCCATTACTCTAAGAATTCTAAGCATAGTTGTAGCATTGTTTGGCATCGGGCGCCTATGAGTCCCATAAAAGGACCTTAGTCTAACGCAAGAACCTGTGGACCAATAAGGATCAACCACTAGGTCCAGCATCTGCCCTATTACAAGAGGGTGTCGTTCCCCACGAGGTCCTGTCGATAGAAGGGAGAATGATGGTAAGATGAGAGGAAGGTAATGAGATAGTTCCAACAGGTCTGGAAACCACGGTCTGCTCTGCCAGAGGGGAGTGATAAGAAGGAGAGACTCTCTGTGGAAGCGAGTGTAATGGAGTACTCTCATCAGCATGGAGAACAGTGGGAAGGCATAGGCTCCTTCACTCGGCCAAAGCTGTAGGTACACATTCACCGCCTCTCAATTTGGATCCGGGAGCCAATTGAAGTACCTCGGGAAGATATTGGTTGGTCCTGGAGACAAATAAATCCCCATGCAATGGGCCCCTGAGAGATGGTAATACATGGAAAAATCAAACCGTCTAGACGCCAGTTGCTGTAGTCCCGCTAGTGCAGAGAGAACCAGCCTGCCGTGAGGTTGCGGATCCCCAGAAGATATCCTGCTCGAAGAGTAATGGTGCACGAGAGACAGAACCTGGTAATGTCTTTTATTGCCTCTGACAAGGCCTGGTATCTGACTCCACCTATGTGGTAGATGTATGGAACCGCTTAAAATTGTCCATGAGGAGTAGAAGGCAGCAGTTGGATAGACCTTTCAGCTAGACTGTGGTTGGCAAAGGATCACTTCCAGATAATATATGTACAAATTGATCTTGTAGCCCACCCAAAGGCCTCCCGTGGAAGAATCTGTGTAGTGAGTTCCCCAGCCCCAGAAGCTGGCATCCGATTCCACAATGAATTCTGGTGAAGGACCGAATATTATTGCCGTGCCATTCCAGGCTTGCATGTGAAGCAGCCACCAGTGGACTTCCACCCATACCTCTGCTGAGAGGGCACACTGTGGTCGAGTGTCGATTTCTGTCTGTTCACCACAAAGTCCACAGATTCCAGAATGTGAACGACAAATTCAGCCTGAGATCATAGCCTGGGCACTGTGTGATAGAACATCAGTAAATCGTCCAGGTGGAGAAGGCACAGGATGTCTTTGGACTGAAGTTGCAACATAACCAGTTTCAGCAGCTTCATGAAACACCACAGAGTCGAGTTGAGGCTGAAGGGCATGTAACATTGGATGCCTGATTCCCCAAAAACAAACTAAAGGGAAGCGACGACTCGCCGGTGTGGTGGGACCCGACATATATGCATCAATTAGGTCCAGCCAGGTGAACTAATCGTTAGCGAGAAAAGGTCCTGTAAATGGTAAATTCCGTCTATCATGAAATGCCGGTATACGATGTAGCCATGCAGCTGGCAAGTTTTGATGACCAGTTGGTAATCCCCCATCTTATTCTCGACCTGAAAAATATTGCTGAAGAAACCAGTTTGTATTGAACCGTGCCTTTGAGAACAGGGATCAAGTCTCTTTGTCCATGAGGAGACTGTGTTCCCATTCTTTAGAAGTTTGGTGTCGATCGCCCATAGCACACTGACTTGGGCCATTCAGCACACAGTGCAGCATTAGTTTTGCCCAACACACAGATCAAGGGTTGGGCCTATTCACAACTGGCACTCAGAACGTGCATACCTTGGGAGAGGGACAGTGTAGCAAAATATAGTATTTAAGCTAGCTGACTCAGTAAAGCCAGCAGCTTATATAGGGTCAATGCCCGATCTGGACATAAAAAAAACCCAACTACTGTGGTGCCAAATTCAGGCGCGTTGGCGATTTCCTCAGGCAGGAGAGGTCTAGTGCAGTCGGCCCGAGCCGTGTACAATCCTCTTTCACCAAAGGCATGCAGAGCTAATAGTGGACACACTAAGCCAGGTGGTGGGTAGGTACCACTCCGATGATCATGCGTGTCGGATAGTACAGAGTTAAAATAAGGGGACTTCTTGAGCATTCAAAAAGACCTCATCATCAGTCACCAAGGTCAGTGAAGTATTGGCATTTCCGGTGGTAATCACCCAATCACCCCAAAAAATCTTGACATACTGTGAGGTACATTGAGGTAAGACCTGACAATCATCCTCTCCGAAGGCAGAGCCCACTGCCTACCACTCATCGACAATGATTAAGGAGTAAGGAGGAGACGAGTTACCTTCATTCGAGGAAAGAGGTTGCGAGGAATAGATCCAGTTGATTCCGCTCATTTGGCTCTTTTAACTGGGGCTTTGCCTTTGACCTTCAGTGCCGGTGTGATACGGCTTATTCCCTAGAGACCACTGAGCCTGAGGTTTCATCCAAACCTATTTTCCCTGTTTTCTGCCTGCAGTTGAAGTAGCATCTTTCTTACCGAGGCCGCGACAGCGGCATTAATCATCACTTAATCCTGAGTAGATGGGGGAGTCGCCCATGATAAGTCTCATCCTGCAGGAGCATGTCAGTGGAAGTAGATAGTTGGCAAAGCACACAGGTTGCCAGACTCCCAGTACAACTGGGGCTCATCCAAAACAACAGCAATATTATGTGCCTCTTGCTTAGTGTAATAAGTGCCAATGTGAGAGGGGAACACCCTCTAAAATACAAAAGTTTTTTTCTCCCTTGAGTGATATGGGAGAAATGAAAGTCTCATAGTAATGGGTGTGATCTTCGATAACTTCCGTCCAGGGGAGGCGGTTCTGTAGAGGGTCTTACCCTTTCAACCATTGCCAATGATGGCAGGTATCGACAATCCCAGTCATAAACCAGAGATGTACACATGGTGAGCAATAAACAGTCTGAAGATGCTATACTTACATGAAAAGATTAATAAATGCACTGTAACGGATCGCCTGGCACCCTGACTGGGTACCTCCGTTGAAGGATGCTCCTAGCGCTGCTTGAGGACTCCAAGCACTCTGGCAGACACAACAATCACCGAACCGGAGAAACAAATAAATACTCCCAAGCATATGAATGCTGTAGACAGTTGAATAGGAACCATATGAATAGGTTTACTCTCCTAGCAGTCAAACTGGAACAGCATACAATAAATCCTTCCCCCAATAATGAGACGACACTTCACTTTGAGGGTTAAGCAGGAACTCCTGTGCTGGCACACCCAGCCTGGTTTTTATTACAGCCTTTCACATACAGGACCACCCACAGGGAGGTATAAAACAACCAATCACATATCAGTTACATCCCACATATTCCCTCCCCTTATCCTGAGAGGAAACTCAATTACACATACAGTTAAAACATACTTTCTACCCAACTTTCATAACTCTAAAACCATACATCACATTCACATAAAATTACATATTCACAATCAATCCATTCAGGGGAACAACATATTTAAAAATGGCATGAATCCGACCAGGGGTTCAGAAGTTAGTAAAAGTATCTTTTGGGCCCTGGCTGGCACATGGTTATCTGGCTCAAACAGGTTTTACAGAGCCCTCTATCCTGGAGACAATGGGGAAAAGTAATCCAATTATCCAGGGATAGAGGCAGACTCCATTGAGCACATGGTTGCAAAAAGACATAAAACACTTTAAAATACATAAAGTCACCTTTTACACATAACACACAGACATTTCACATATCCCCAGATAGCTGGGATCTGAGCGCACAAAACTACCGAATAGCGCTCAGATCCTATTCACACAGTTCAATTGCCATGGAGCCGAAGTCTTTAACTACACTAATGGGCTCCATGGCATAGCTATCTGGGTTAACACATTCACATAAAATCTGGTCCATAGTCCAAAGGCAAGAGGCGGGCAAGCAGCCCTCTCCAAGGACACGTGGCGAGGTCGATTTCGCCACATTTCTCCCCTTTACCATCCAGACTAACAGGGTATCTGACCTCCTGCCGGTCAGTGCCCTGGTTAGTCCAGCAACCCACCCACGAAGCACAAACAGCAATACAGCCCACCCACAATAACTGGTTACTACACCTGGATAAAATAGCAACTTTTCCATGTCCAGGTGCCTCACCACGGCTGTGCGGGGGGCTGGTAGACTGCCTTGGTGGGTTGCTGAGTGGGCAGAGACCAGCGGTACTCTGCCCGGGTGCCAGCGCTACCACTGAAGTAGCCTGGTTGGAGCCTGGTTGTGGGAGGGGGAGACCGACTGTCTCCCCTCTGGATACACTGCTCTGTGGCTGGGGGACAGGACCGACTGTCCCTACCCCTGGTGCTGCAAGTGCAGAGACTACGGTCCCATCTGCATAGTTGTGGGGCTTAACATCTCCCCTTGGTGGGTTAGGCTGCCGCTGGAGAGAGGGTGTAACAAGCTCCTCTCTCTGAACTGTAGACTGCCGCTGGGGAGAGGGGGTAACCTGCTCCTCTCCCTGACACTCTCTTTGCTGGTGGAGAGGGGGACCAACTGTCTCCCCTTTCAATATTTTGTCCTGCGGCTGGGGTGCGAGACAGATGGTCTCTGCTTCCTGGGGTACACACTGCCGCTGGGGAAGAAGGACGGCACCTTCAGCTTCCTGGGGTACACACTGCCGCTGGGGAGGAAGGACGACACCTTTGGCTCCTGGGATACACACTGCCGCTGGGGAGGAAGGACGGCACCTTCTGCTCCCTGGGATACACACTGCCGCTGGGGAGGGAGGACGACACCTTCTGCTCCCTGTGACACACACTGCCGCTGGGAAGGAAGGACAGCACCTTCTGCTCCCTGGGGTACACACTGCCGCTGGGGAGGAAGGACGACACCTTCAGCTCCCTGGGATACATACTGCTGCTGGGGAGGAAGGACAACACCTCCCGCTCCCTGGGACACACACTGCCGCTGGGGAGGAAGGACGACACCTTTTGCTCCCTTGGACTCACACTGCGGCTGGGGAGGAAGGACAACACCTTCTGCTCCCTGGGGTACACACTGCCGCTGGGGAGGAAGGACGACATCTTCAGCTCCCTGGGGTACACCTTTGAGTCCCCGTAACGCACTCTGCCACCGGATAGGGCGGCCGATACCTTCGGATGGATCTGCCATGAACTGCAGGTACTCTGCTGTTAATTTCCTCACGAACTGTACGTATTCCTCAGCGGGGTTGGGTCCAAAGAAAGCCAACCGCATGGCAACCTCTCTGTCAAACCGCTCCTGAGTGTAGCCAGGCGCCATGCTTGCTCTGCCGCCGTTGGTTCCTTTGTAGATAGGGGCGCTGTACGGATACTAGCGTTGCCCTCACTTTGTAACTCCAAACGAACTGTGTCTCTGAGCTGCTTTACCTCGCACTAGGACGCCATCCCACCGCTTGCCACCAATGTAACGGATCGCCTGGCACCCCGACTTTGGTACCTCCATTGAAGGATGCTCCTAGCGCTTCTTGAGGACTCCAAGCACTCTGGCAGACACCACAATCACCGAACCGGAGAAACAAATAAATTCTCCCAAGCATATGAATGCTGTAGACAGTTGAATAGGAACCATACGAATTTACTCTCCTAGCAGTCAAACTGGAACAGCATACAATAAATCCTTCCCCCAATAATGAGACGACACTTCACTTTGAGGGTTAAAACAGGAACTCTGTGCTGGCACACCCAGCCTGGTTTTTATTACAGTCTTTCACATACCGGACCGCCCACAGGGAGGTATAAAACAACCGATCACATATCAGTTACATCCCACATATTCCCTCCCCTTATCCTGAGAGGAAACTCAATTACACATACAGTTAAAACATACTTTCTACCCAACTTTCATAACTCTAAAACTATACATCACATTCACATAAAATTACATATTCACAATCAATCCATTCAGGGGAACAACATGAATCCGACCAGGGGTTCAAAAGTTAGTAAAAGTATCTTTTGGGCCCTGGCTGGCACATGGCTATCTGGCTCAAACAGGTTTTACAGAGCTCTCTATCCTGGAGACAATGGGGAAAAGTAATCCAATTATCCAGGGATAGAGGCAGACTCCATTGAGCACATGGTTGCAAAAAGACATAAAACACTTTAAAATACATAAAGTCACCTTTTACACATAACACAGAGACATTTCACATATCCCCAGATAGCTGGGATCTGAGCGCACAAAACTACCGAATAGCGCTCAGATCCTATTCACACAGTTCAATTGCCATGGAGCCGAAGTCTTTAACTGCACGAATGGGCTCCATGGCATAGCTATCTGGGTTAACACATTCACATAAAGTCTGGTCCATAGTCCAAAGGCAAGAGGCGGGCAAGCAGCCTCCTCCAAGGACACGTGGCGAGGCCGGTTTCGCCACATGCACCATAACAGGGGACTCACCTCTGAAAGTCTGCCTCAGCATAACATATCTATGATAAACTGGGGGCTCACCCCAAGTCGTGTGTCTTGTGTTAAAGAGGACACCCACTATGGTAACTGTCAAATCCCCTGCCCCCGCGCCGACCTTGCTTCCCTCATCACTGCGATCGGCATCATCTGGTCCCTGTCTCCAGACTGCACGCTCCAGAGCAGCTTCCAAATATGTGTGCTGCACCTGGTCATGTGACCCGGCACACAGTGATGACCTCAGAGACCACAAGGGAAGGAATAAACTCCTCCCACATATTGTGGTTACCACTAATTGGAGATTAGCCAATCAGACACACCCTGTGTGCCCTGTTGTGGTCTTTGGTCTACCATTGAGCGTTGCACTTGTTATTTGGATTTCGTGGTTACTGATATTTGGCTTTGACTCTCGTTATTGAATATGCTGTGCAATTTTGGGCACCTGTTCTAGAGAAAGATATCATGGCACTAGAAAAAGTGCAGAGACGAGCTACAAAATTGATAAAAAGGAATGGAGCATTTTAGTTACAAAGAAAGGTTACAAAATGTAAATCTGTTTAGTTTGGAAAAACGGCGCCTGAGAGGGGATATGATAACATTATACAAATATATTCAGGGCCAGTACAAACTATTAACTGGAAATCTATTCATAAACAGGGCTATACATAGGACACGAGGTCACACATTTAGGCTGGAAGAAAGGAGATTTCATCTAAGGCAAAGAAAAGGTTTTTTTTACAGTAAGAGCAATAAGGATATGGAATTCTCTGCCTGAAGAGGTGGTTTTGTCAGAGTCCATACAGATGTTTAAACTGCAATTAGATAAATACTTGCAAAAACATAACATTCAGGGATATAATTTCTAATTAGTGGGGTAATAGCTGCTTGATCCAAGGAGCTATCTATATACCAAAGTGTGCATACTTGAACAATGAAGTGAAAATATGCTCCAACACTTATGTGAAGAATCACCTTAACCCTCACAATCACATATGACTATATACAAGATATAAGTGGAGCTTCAGAGTACCTGGTTATAACATGAATGCACTTGATTACAATCTTAATCAGAGATCTGTAAATAATATATAATACAAATATAGTGCAGATGGTCTGTACAATTTCAATATGAATAAGAAAGTGATAATTCACAACTAAAACAGGAACAGATTGATTTTATAACTGAAGGTATATTTTTTATTCCTTACCAATAATTTTTTTTGGTTTAACCCCTTAAGGACCAAACTTCTGGAATAAAAGGGAATCATGACGCCTAGTTACGCCAACTTGTTTATGGCGTACTGGGAAGAGACATTTATGACACAGCATGCTGCACATGCGGACTTGGTTACCTACCGCCGTTTCATCGATGACATATTTTTTATTTGGAAAGGAGGCGAATCTGGTCTGAATTATTTTTTAAGTTTTCTCAATTCCAATGATTGGGGGATAACTCTCACCTCCATCCAGAGTAAAAAAGAAATACATCTTTTAGATTTAACTATTTTTATAGACAATGGAGAAATTCACACAAAAAAAATATTTTAAAGAAGTAGATTGTAATGGATATATAGACCTCACAAGCTGCCACCATACTCCATGGCTTACGAATGCTCCTAAAAGCCAATTTATGAGACTAAAAAGAAAGTGTACGTAAGAAGGTGATTTTATTACACAAACTCATATAATCAAAGAACAGTTTATAGAAAAGGGTTACAAAGAAGATCTCCAAACAAACCTGGAAGAAGTTAAGAGAATGGAAAGAAAAGAATTACTTGAATATAAGAAAAAAAGAAGTGAGGAGGACAAATATATGAAAATTCCGTTCATCTGCAATTTCACCGCTGGAAATAAGAAAGTAAGACAAGTCATTAATAAATACTGGCACCTTCTACAAGATGACCCCATTTTAAAAAATGTATTACCACCAAAAACTGAAAATCATACACAGAGGGTGTAAAAATATTAAAAGTATATTAGTAAACAGCAATTATAAAAACCCATTAAATACTAATAATAATAATTTTTTGACCAGGAGCAAAGGTTTTTTTTGGATGTGGAGGGTGCTCAGCATGTAGGGAAACCAATAGCAAAAAAAGAAGTATAAAAAACACAAACCAATTTACGAAAAAGAATTTTGAAATAAGAGACCAATTAACTTGTTTCTTCAAAAACATTATTTATTTATTACAATGTCCTTGTGATCTGTTATATGTTGGGAGAACTATTAGATGCTTGCACATTAGAATTTCTGAACATGTGAGAAATATTAAAAAAGGAATAGAGACACATAGCGTCTCACAGCACTTTAAGAACTTCCACAATCAAAATCCGAAAGATCTCACATTTTGTGCACTGAAGGTAGTCAATAAAAACTGGAGGGGAGGAGATTTTACAAAAAAAATTGGAATTGAAGAAATTAAATTTATTTTTAATTTTAATACTCGAGTACCTTATGGTCTTAATTTAGATTTTGAACTGTCATTTTTTATCATGATTTTTATTATTTTTTTTAGCTTATACAGCATAGTTTTTTATATATATATATTTCTAATTTTAATTGGGCAAAACTTGAAGAATCTGGTTTTTGAGCTTCTGATTGGATTTTATAATTTAATCAGAAATCATACGTATATTATAGTTCATTTTGTATTATCTCATCCCTCCTCCATGTTTTATAAGGATATCACCAATAGAAGCACTATATAAGGATGTGGCAATCTGTATTGGTTTACACTGATTCAAACAAACATTTTTGAAAGAAGAGCACTGGGCACTTAGAATTATCTTGGTATAAAGAAATAAATGTGAAGATTTATGGAAAGTTATTTTATACATATCTCTGTTACTGTTTTAGTATGTTCATATTTCATATAATACTCGGACGCAGATGCGTTAGGAATCCTTGTAATATTTCAAATACCTCAGAGTGAAGGTGTTTCGGGCAGTGGAACGACAGGATGGAGAGACGCACTTCCGGGTCATATGACCAATATGTGAACAGAATGTGCGTTCCACCGAGGTCACTTCCGGGTTCACGGATGCCGGCAAATTCACAATGAAGGCGGTATTTAAGAGGGAAAGATAGCCATACAAATTACATAACCAACTGAGGAAGCCAGTAAATGGCGAAACGCGTTTTGGATATTTTGGACATTGGACTCAATTTGGATTTTATATTATACTAGTATTTTGGATCATATTGATCAATTTTATTTTCAATAAAAGGGTATCCGGTTTCTATTGGAGTTTCCTGTCCATTCTTACCTGAGAATTTGAAAGGTGAATGAGACCAGAAGGAGGCACAAGGGGGTAGTGGATCAGTCTTAAAAGGTCCTGAAGCATTACATACCAGAGCCAGGTAATCAATTGGCTCTGAAATCTGTGAGTTGTGAATTATCACTTTCTTATTTAGATTGAAATTGCACAGACCATCTGCACTATATTTGTATTATATATTATTTACAGATCTCTGATTAAGATTGTAATCAAGTGCATTCAGGTTATAACCAGGTATTCTGAAGCTCCACTTATATCTTTTTGTATATACTCCAAGGAGATATCAGACTGCTATTTTGGGGTCAAGAAGGAATTTTTTCCTAGTTTGTTGCAAAATTGGAAGCGCTTCAGACTGGGGTTTTTTGCCTTCTTTTGGATCAACAGCAAAAACATATGTGAGAAAGGCTGAACTTGATGGACGCAAATCTCTTTTTCAGCTAGTAACTATTCCGTCTCTGTTTTCCTTGACCTCGGCTCGTGTTTTGACTATCCCTTTTTGCATAACCGGTATTGCAATTCTCTCTACTTTATCATGTCTGCGTGTAAGGGTTCCCTAGCGAACCTTACAGTAACAGTAACATTTGGTACAATATACCGGAATTCAATGGTCTTCAGTGGTGAGAGCACATCATATGGAACCTGGGGGTTCACCTCTGGTGGTGTGATTAACCAGAGCACATCATATAGTATCTAGAGGACCACTTCAGGTGGTGTGTCTTGTGTAACAGAGGACACCCACTATGGTAATAGAAACATTTGGCACAATGTGTCCGTATACAATAAGCACTGTCTTCTCCAGGCATAATTCAGACATGTATTATTACTATATAGGCAACCTATCCATTGCTGTAATGTTCCTCTTTGTGGCAGAAAATAGCGAGTGAAACACTGAGCCTGAGGTACCTGTACAAATGTAGAAACTAGAATGGGCACAAAAAACAGCAGTCCAGTAGTTAAACAAGATAAACCTAGAGGGGATTAGATCCCCAGACCCTGATAATGCAATACTGCTTGTTTCAGCCATAGTAATACTGCAGCTTCATCTGTGGCCAGATCGCTTGAATACAGACCTGGAAGGAATACCACCCACAGATCCCCTCAGAAAGCCCTAAAGAGATACAGAAATGGGGATGGCCGCGAGAGGGGAGAGAGAGCCAGGACAGTCCCAGGCTCCAGCCTTAGAAGGGGAAAGTACTAGGCCACAGTGGTTAGAGCAGAAATAAAGTATGAAAAACTATATATAGGAAAGGCAAACGGTAGTGGGGGTTAAAGAAACAGAAATATAAAGTAGATAAGGCAATTAAACTGTGACAATACAATATAAAAATAAGTTTATTTCAAAAAGAGGGCACAAGGACAAAATATTCTGACCTGTGCATGCAGGAGCAGCAACGAAAGAGGAGGAGCTTAGACTGGCAGGGCCTTTTATGAAATATCTAGCTGTGTTTTGATTGGTCGTTCTGTTTATGATCTGTGCTGCTGGAGTTTTCAGTAAAGAGAGATATGCAAAATATGAAGTCTCCGGTCATGTGGTAAAATTGTAGATTGTATATTTTTATGCATTATTGAGAAGTATATCCCTTGACCAGAATGCATCATGTTTATAGAGCAAATGGGCATAAACATGAAGCGGGATCAGTTTGCGGATGGGAGACCATTTAACTATGACAGAAGCTCCCTCTTATGTTTCTGACTTCAGCTTTAATTTAACCAGGATTGGCCAGCCAGTTCCATCTCCACCGTTTACTTGTGGTAAAGATTAAGTGGCTTGTAGAGAGGTTTGAGACCTTATCTCCTGCCCGCTGATTATGGACCTTCTTATAGACTGATATACTCTCCGTCAGCCCGCCCAGTCACAGTTACTGCACTCCAACCTGGACGTTGTGTAACACAGCGCCATCTAATGGTGTATTTACTCTCCGTCAGCCCGCCCAGTCACAGTTACTGCACTCCAACCTGGACGTTGTGGAACACAGCGCCATCTAATGGTGTATTTACTCTCCGTCAGCCCGCCCAGTCACAGTTACTGCACTCCAACCTGGACGTTGTTTAACACAGCGCCATCTAATGGTGTATTTACTCTCCGTCAGCCCGCCCAGTCACAGTTACTGCACTCCAACCTGGACGTTGTGGAACACAGCGCCATCTAATGGTGTATTTACTCTCCGTCAGCCCGCCCAGTCACAGTTACTGCACTCCAACCTGGACGTTGTGTAACACAGCGCCATCTAATGGTGTATTTACTCTCCGTCAGCCCGCCCAGTCACAGTTACTGCACTCCAACCTGGACGTTGTTTAACACAGCGCCATCTAATGGTGTATTTACTCTCCGTCAGCCCGCCCAGTCACAGTTACTGCACTCCAACCTGGACGTTGTGGAACACAGCGCCATCTAATGGTGTATTTACTCTCCGTCAGCCCGCCCAGTCACAGTTACTGCACTCCAACCTGGACGTTGTGGAACACAGCGCCATCTAATGGTGTATTTACTCTCCGTCAGCCCGCCCAGTCACAGTTACTGCACTCCAACCTGGACGTTGTTTAACACAGCGCCATCTAATGGTGTATTTACTCTCCGTCAGCCCGCCCAGTCACAGTTACTGCACTCCAACCTGGACGTTGTGGAACACAGCGCCATCTAATGGTGTATTTACTCTCCGTCAGCCCGCCCAGTCACAGTTACTGCACTCCAACCTGGACGTTGTGTAACACAGCGCCATCTAATGGTGTATTTACTCTCCGTCAGCCCGCCCAGTCACAGTTACTGCACTCCAACCTGGACGTTGTTTAACACAGCGCCATCTAATGGTGTATTTACTCTCCGTCAGCCCGCCCAGTCACAGTTACTGCACTCCAACCTGGACGTTGTGTAACACAGCGCCATCTAATGGTGTATTTACTCTCCGTCAGCCCGCCCAGTCACAGTTACTGCACTCCAACCTGGACGTTGTTTAACACAGCGCCATCTAATGGTGTATTTACTCTCCGTCAGCCCGCCCAGTCACAGTTACTGCACTCCAACCTGGACGTTGTTTAACACAGCGCCATCTAATGGTGTATTTACTCTCCGTCAGCCCGCCCAGTCACAGTTACTGCACTCCAACCTGGACGTTGTGGAACACAGCGCCATCTAATGGTGTATTTACTAGTCTAAATAATAAGTGTCACAATATCTCGCCTAAATTCTTCCTTTATTCTCAAAATTATACATTTCAGAAATGACAGCAAAATTTAGTTGGTAGGAAAAGAGACTTAAAAAGTGACTACCGGTAGTTTCAAATATAAATATGAAATAAGATTCCAAGGCAATGTCTGATGTAAACACTAACCGGTTTGTGTATCAACCACAAGAAACACCAAGACACAATAAGCACAGGATACAGGATTATATATCTCTCAAATAAATGCAGAAAGATTTCCAAGGCAAACGTGCTACTTTTTGCACTATAATACCTCGGCAATGTCCCATTCAACAAGGTCAATCGTGCTTGTCTATCAGATAATAGGAGGAAAGCTTTTTTAGTCACAAAGAAAAGGGACTACATTATATACATTACACTATATATCTAACAAAACTCCATATACACTAGGACTGTACAGCCTAACCATATGTATTCTAGAAGCCGGCACAAAGTCATTTTAATTGGGCAGAATAGATTTCATCAGTCTAGTGTTACCTAGATCAGCTCGGTAGGGAGACTGCCTTGGGTCTCTCTTCCTACTGAATAATATAGACAGGACCAGCTGTGATTTTTGTATATGAATTTGTAAATTCACAATTGGAGCTATACTGTTATATACTATTTTTTTCTGTAATATGTCCAACAGCACAGACCATCACCCGGCAGTTGGAGGCACAGACAAGGAATTCCTTAGCCCCCTCTCTGTGTCGCCCTGCAGTGGGAGGGATAGGCATGGAGTTTCATAGCTCCCCTCTCTGGGTCGCCCTGCAGTGGGAGGGATAGGCATGGAGTTTCATAGCTCCCCTCTCTGTGTCGCCCTGCAGTGGGAGGGATAGGCATGGAGTTTCATAGCTCCCCTCTCTGTGTCGCCCTGCAGTGGGAGGGATAGGCATGGAGTTTCATAGCTCCCCTCTCTGTGTCGCCCTGCAGTAGGAGGGATAGGCATGGAGTTTCATCGCCATCGCTCCCCTCTCTGTGTCGCCCTGCAGTGGGAGGGATAGGCATGGAGTTTCATCGCTCCCCTCTCTGTGTCGCCCTGCAGTGGGAGGGATAGGCATGGAGTTTCATCGCTCCCCTCTCTGTGTCGCCCTGCAGTGGGAGGGATAGGCATGGAGTTTCATCGCTCCCCTCTCTGTGTCGCCCTGCAGTGGGAGGGATAGGCATGGAGTTTCATCGCTCCCTTCTCTGTGTCCCCTGCAGTGGGAGGGATAGGCATGGAGTTTCATAGCTCCCCTCTCTGTGTCGCCCTGCAGTGGAGAGGATATAGGCATGGAGTTTCATAGCATCCCCTCTCTGTGTGCCCTGCAGTGGGAGGGATAGGCATGGAGTTTCATAGCTCCCCTCTCTGTCGCCCTGCAGTGGGAGGGATAGGCATGGAGTTTCATAGCTCCCCTCTCTGTGTCGCCCTGCAGTAGGAGGGATAGGCATGGAGTTTCATCGCCATCGCTCCCCTCTCTGTGTCGCCCTGCAGTGGGAGGGATAGGCATGGAGTTTCATCGCTCCCCTCTCTGTGTCGCCCTGCAGTGGGAGGGATAGGCATGGAGTTTCATAGCTCCTCTTGTGTAGGCATGGAGTCCTGCAGTGGCGGACATCTATCTTTGTTCTCAGTGCCAGTGGGTAGGATAAGTGGGAGGCATGGAGTTTCATCGCTCCCCTCTCTGTGTCGCCCTGCAGTGGGAGGGATAGGCATGGAGTTTTATAGCTCCCCTCTTGTGTCGCCCTGCAGTGTGAGGGATAGGAATGGAGTTTCATCGCTCCCCTCTCTGTGTTGCCCTGCAGTGGGAGGGATAGGCATGGAGTTTCATAGCTCCCCTCTCTGTGTCGCCCTGCAGTGGGAGGGATAGGCATGGAGTTTTATAGCTCCCCTCTTGTGTCGCCCTGCAGTGGGAGGAACGGACATGCTATCTTTGTTCTCAGTTAACAGTGGGTAGGATAAGTATTTAAATGACAGACAGCGGCTAATTAAAACATTTACAATGAATGTGAATGATTTACCGGACCATAGCACATACAGCACTGTAAACACACACACACATACTTCTTCCATGCACAGAATACAAAACAGTCCTGGAAAGCAGGCTTTCGGCCACTGGTCAAGGAGTCCAGTCTGGTCTGTGGTTTCCATGTAAAGTTGTTCTCCTGCTTTCAATCAAGCTCTATGAAAGTCTTTATTTCATTCTGTAATCCGCATCTTACAGAGCTCCTCTCACAGTTCCATATTGTCCACATGCTCACGAGCTACCCAGATAGGGTGGGTAGCTGGAGATGGTTTCTCTTGGGAAGAGTCTAACAGACCTGTCAGAGATCGGAGAAGCTTCTGGATCTGACTGGTTGGTGGAGACCAGAGAACCAGATCCATGCAGGGGGAGGATCTGGGGAAGACGGAGTAACAGAGTTAGAAATACACTAAAAAACAGTTTCAAACAGATGCTAATTGCAGCCAAGTGCTGGTCTGATCTTGGTCTATTGAACGTTGGTACATTATGTAAATGCATATATGGTGTGTATAATACGCCGGGCTGGCACACGGGGTGCATATTACGCCGGGCTGGCACACGGGGTGCATATTACCCCGGGCTGGCACACGGGGTGCATATTACGCCGGGCTGGCACACATTTCCTTACAGAGAGTGCAGGAGTCTCTCAGGGAGGATGTTTCCTGGACGGCTGTCACGCAGGCTTTCCTCCAGTAGAGGGCAGACACTGAGAACTTTAGAACTGGACATGCAGAATTCTCCGGCATCCACAATCACAGCACCGTCACCATCATCATCATCATCTGTTTCCCTGGTTGAGGATCTATGGGGACAGAAAGGGGGAACGAAGAAATCAAAACAACAATGACAAGGCGGGACCCAGGCCCCCAGAAAGCACGAGAGGCAGGGACCCAGGCCCCCAGACAGCACGAGAGGCAGGGACCCAGGCCCCCAGACAGCACGAGAGGCAGGGACAGAGGCCCCCAGACAGCACGAGAGGCAGGGACAGAGGCCCCCAGACAGCACGAGAGGCAGGGACCCAGGCCCCAGACAGCACGAGAGGCAGGGACCCAGGCCCCCAGACAGCACGAGAGGCAGGGACAGAGGCCCCCAGACAGCACGAGAGGCAGGGACCCAGGCACACAGACAGCACGAGAAGCAGGGACCCAGGCACACAGACAGGGCGAGAGGCGGTGGATCATGATACAGATAAACAGAAATGGAGGGAGTAGGTACTATACCTGACGTCTTTGTGTGCAGCCCACGGTTGGGGTAATGTTTTGGGGAAGCCACTGCTCCCATAGCTGTGGTCATTGTCCAGGCTGAGCCGTTGTAAGCGAGCTGCAACCACATCCTCGGATAGGAATAATTTCAGTGCTGGGCCGCTAGGAAAGACAAGCACTGGCAATGAACAGAGATTGACATTTAATGGAAGAGATTGAAATACAGTAAGTGCACTCACCCATCTTCCTGAGTAAAATGGCGCTTGGTGCCAAATGAATCTGGACGAGTGGATGCAGACAACCTTGAGGGGTAAATTACTGAGATCAGAATCAGGATATTTTTTAGACGATAAAAGAGAAAGAAAAAATAATGGAATTTTTTTTTAAATAAATTTTTCTAAAAAACTAAAAATGTTCCAACAGTTGCATTACAGACACACTCAGCTAATGAATAATGGCAATGGCCTTCATTTAATACTTTTGGATGTACTTGTATAATATTTAAAATATATATATATATATTGAAACATTAAAAACATACAACATGCATACGAGAAAAAAATATGTTTTTATACCATAAAGATCAAAATATTAAAGGGAAACAAAGCTGTAACGGATCACCTGGCACCCCAACTGGGTACCTCCGTTAAAGGATACTCCTAGTGTTTCCTGAGGACTCCAAGCACTCTGGCAGACACCACAACCACCGAACCGGAGAAGCATATGAGTACTTCTAAGCATATGAATGTTGTATACAGCCGAATAGGAAAAACCATGCGAATAGGTTTACACTCCTAGCAGTCGAACTGGAACAGCATACAATAAATCCCCCCCAATAATGAGACGACACTTAACTTTGAGGGTTAAGCAGGAACTCTCCTGGAATGGCCACACACTGGCTTTTATGCAAGTCCCCATGCAAGGGGACATCCCACAGGGTGGGACACAGTACAACCAATCGTTTACAGGAGAACCGTAAAACACACCCAGCACAAACATACATCCCTCCCCTCTGCCTGTGATATAATTACTGAACACAATGGGTTAATGTAATTTATCACAGGCAGGAAAAATACACTTTTTATACATACACTGTAACTTTAAAAATATGCATCATATTCACATAAAGCATACATATTCAGAATCAGCATACTTTAAATATAAACATAACTAAAATTCAGCCAATTCCATCCAGGGGTTAAAAAGTTAAGGAAAAGTCCTATTTGACCAAATGCAGCATGGCTTTTCTGCCCAAAACCAGTTCCACAGAGTCTTCTATCCTGGAGATAATCGGGAAGTAATCCAATTATCTCCAGGACAGAGGCAAAACTCCATTGAACACATGGCAGACAAAGGACAATAAAAGACATAAAAATACATACGGTTACATTTATCACATAGTACATACACATTCTACCTATCCCCAGATAGCTTAGATCTGAGCGCACATTATTACCGGATGGCGCTCAGATCACATACATACAGTTCAATCGCCATGGAGCCAAAGTCTTTCATACAGTCTTTCAGTATACGGCTGGGCTCCATGGCATAGCTATCTGGGGTAGCATGGCTTTAACAGTCCGCAGAAAGGCACGAATAAACCTTTCTGCAGGTAAAACACAAGTTTAAAATGCAGGACCATAGTCTAAAGGGAGCAGGCGAGCAACCAGGCCTCTCCAGTGGACAGTGGCGAGGTTGGTCCCGCCACAGCGATATCATCTAGGTAGGCACACGCGTAATCCTGGAGACCTTCCAACAAGTGGTCCACCATCCGTTGGAAGGTGGCCGGGGCGTTCATCCCGAACGGCATAACCCGAAATTGGCATAGGCCGAACGGGGTGATGAAGGCTGACCTGGGTATTGCATCTTCTGCTAGTGGGATCTGCCAATATCCCTTACATAGGTTGATTGTGGTCAGATACTTCCCTGCAGAGATACGGTCAAGCAGTTCGTCCATCCGTGGCATCGGATAGGCGTCATTGAGCCGCCAGTAATCTACACAGAAGCGGGTTGTCCCGTCCTCCTTTGGCACTAAGACCACCGGTGAGGCCCAAGGGCTGTCAAAATGTTCTATTACCCCTAGAGGAAGCATTTCGTCAATTTCCTTCCGCATCCTGTCTCGGACAGCTTCAGGTAGGGAGGCTGCCTTAGAGGCGCCTGCCCCGGGGTTTCTACTTTGTGGACGGCTAGGGGGGGTGTACCCGGGCTCCTGCGAGAACGTGGCCTGTTTGGCTTCTAGCAAGCGGATAACTTGTGCCCTCTCTTGGGGTTCTAGCTGTTCGCCTAGCTGAACTTTTTCTATCTGCCTTGTCTCTTCGTTATTGCCCAATTAGTCGGGTAGGGGCAGAGCCTCTGTGTCCTCCCCTGCTTGAGCACAGATGGCGGTCACCTCCTCAGCCCTCTAGTGATATGCTTTAAGCATGTTGATGTGAAATGTTCGTTTCACATCTTCATCCTCGCAGCTGGCTATGGTGTAGGTAGTATCGCATATCTGCCCTATAACCTTATAGGGACCCTGCCAGGCGGCCTGGAGCTTGTCAGTTCAGACCGGTCTTAGCACCATGACCTTTTGCCCGATCTGAAAGCTCCGGTACCTATCCCGTTGGTCGTACCACACTTTTTGGTGCTGCTGGGCCGCCTGGAGGTTTTCCTGCATGGTCTGGGCTAATTCCTCCATGCGGTCCCGCAGCTCCAGCACGTAGGGCACAATCGGGGTCCCCTCTATCTCGGTCTGCCCTTCCCAGTGGTCCTTGATAAGATCTAGGGGCCCCTCATATAGCAGTTCGAAGAGTCAGAACCCGGTTGATTCCTGGGGCACCTCCCGGTATGCAAAGAGAAGGTGTGGCAGGAATCGCTCACAGTCTTTATAGGCTCCCGTGAACGACTTCAGCATTTGCTTCAGTGTCCCGTTGAAGCGTTCGCACAGGCAATTGGTCTGGGGATGGTATGGGGAACTAGTCAGGGATTTAACTCTGCAGACTTTCCAGATCTGCTGGGTCACCTCGGCCGTGAACTGCGTACCCTTGGGAAAGCCCACTCGGAAGAATATCTTGACCAGGGCATCAGCCACCGTCTCAGCCTGGATATTAGAAAGGGCTACAGCTTCGGGGTAACAAGTAGCGTAATCTACCACAGTGAGGATATAGCGTTTACCGGAGCGGCTAGGCTGGGCCAGGGGTTCTATGATGTCTACAGCTACCCTCGTGAACGGTTCCTATATTATTGGCATAGAAACCAGTTTAGCTTTCGGGTGGTCTCCTTTTTTGCCTATCCTTTGACACACCTCGCACATCTGGCAATATGCCCGGACGTCGTCGGACACCCCAGGCCAGAAGAAGTTCTGGGTTACCCGATATAACGTCCTGCGTATCCCCATGTGTCCTTCTAAAGGTACATCGTGCCCAGTCCTTAATAACTCCTGCCGGTATTTCCGTGGAACTACCAGCTGGCGTTTTTGCTGAGGTCCGGGTCTGCGTTGACCCGTGTCTCGGTGAGCCTGTATAACCGGCCCTTTTCCCAGATAAACTGCTCCTTTTCTAACCCCCCAAGCCTTTTCCCTGTACTTTCTGAGAGAAGGATCTGTGACGGTAGTAGAAGATATCCCCGTCAAGCATTCCCTTCTTCCCATAAAAGAAAAGCACTCAATATTCCATAAGCAGAAATATCCCTGGAATCGCCGAATAATCCCCACATGAGCAAAGGCTTAATGCTGGAACAAGACTGATTTACTGGCACACAGAACTCACAATTTATGCAACACAAAACTCCTCCTCTGGGCCAGGCTAGATAATTGAGTTTCTACAATACACAAAGCTCAATTATCTGCTGGCCAGAAACATTACAATTTATAACAATTTCAGAAACATACTTTTTATAAGACATACAAATATACTTTTAACATCCCTGGGTAGCTGAGGATACTGGTAGTCACATATTCCGTTTGGTAGTTTCCGTGTCGCATCGTGTGGAAGTTTGACCGGCTTGCCATGTGGAGGTATCCGAGTTACAGTTCCATAGAATCAGTAGCAAGAGCCGGTCTCCGTTCGCATCTAACTACACAAAAACCACCGTTCGTATGGTTCAGCTGGTTACCTGTGAATGTTCCCCTCATTCGGTAGATACTATCTACCGAACGCCAGTTTGATTCGTGGAGGGGAACGTATTCATCCAGGACTTCCATGGGGACCGGGCGTTTGCATGTTTCCCGTACCGAAAACAGTTCCATGCAATCCATGCGTAAGCCCCGCTGACCGCATTCGTGAGTTTTAAGATGGCAATTAAGTTGCGGTTTCTCTGTGTTCTAATTGCTACTTGCTACCCAGGGTGTGTGGCCCCCTTTCGGTAAACGAATACATTCATTCTCAACATTTTGAACCGAACAATATAGACATTAAAACAGCAGGGAGAGGATTAAGCTGAAAGCATATAGGCAAATACATAAAAGTCCTTCACAGGGTCTCCGGCTACTTCCCTCCCAAAGTCCTCTGGGGTATCCCAGGGAAGGGGCGCTACAGTCAGGGGTAGGTCGGGTTGGCTTACCTGGGTCTCTGTAGGATGCGCATGGCTCTCGGCAGCGCGACTTTGTGCTCTGGTGCATGAGCCTCGTGAGGGGGTGTTGATGCAAAAGCAGAAGTTAGAGGACCAAGATCATGGCCCAACACGACTTCGGAGGGTAACTCTTTCAACACGCGTACTTGAACATTGCCAGCTCCCGCACCCCAGTCCAGATGCACTTGTGCGGTAGGAATTCGATACACTGCCCCCCCGCCACTCTCACAGCAATAGATTTCCCCGGCTGTTCTGACGCATTGATGAGGTGTTGTTACACGGAAATAGCTTCTCACCGGTCTTACATGTTCCCAGCTTGCACCGCTGCAATCTATAATGAATATGGCTGCGAGGCTTATTTTCCTGTCCGGTCGCACCTCCCACGCCTCCACGCTGTCAGTCCCTGCATTGGCTTCCAGTTAGATATAGGGCCCAAATCAAAATTCTGGCGCTTGCTTACAAATCCCTACATAATGCTGCTCCAACATACCTATCCTCCCTCATACACAAGTATGTCCCGACGAGACCCCTGCGCTCAGCCCAAGACCTACGCCTATCCTCTGCCCGGATCCCCACCTCTGATGCTTGCCTTCAAGACTTCTCCAGGGCTGCACCTATTCTGTGGAACTCACTTCCCTCCTCAATCAGACTTTCAGCCAGCCTCCATTCCTTCAAAAAATCTTTGAAAAAGCACTTCTTTATCAATTAAACTGTCAGCAGGTTTCTCATCCCCCACCCCATGACTCCGTTCCTTCACCTGTCAAAAATGACCTACCAAGCACTCAATAAACCCTTCTGTAACAAACTATTTAATTCCCCTACTTTAACCCTTTGTGTCACTATACCCCACTCCCTCTAGCATGTAAGCTCATCGAGCAGGGTCCTCAACCCCCTCTGTTCCTGTACGTCAGTGGTCTGATCTCAATTATGTGTCTGTTAGTCCACCCATTGTACAGCGCTACGGAATTTGTTGGCGCTATATAAATAATAAAATAATAATAATAATAATAATAATAATGATAATAATAATGATAATAATAATGATAATAATAATAATGGTAGCGCCACTGTCTCTTAGGCCCTGTGCTGTGTTTCCGTTGACCATTACTAACTGACAATGGTGTTTTCTATTGTCGGTTATGGTGGATTGGACCAGGAGTGCTTCATAAAGGGTGCCCAAAGGTTCTTCCTGACTCAGCTCCTTGGTGTCCCAGATAGATGATACTGGATAGTCCACACTATAGGCTGCTGCCGAGGGTTGATGAAAACCAGGTCAAGTCCAATTAGACCTGGCGGCGGCGTCCATTGGGAAATTGTTCCTGATGTGACCCAGTTATTTGCAACGGAAGCAACGTAGTTCGTTGTCGGCCTGTCGTGGGTAGCGAGGGTTAGAAGCTACCGGTCTGCTGAGGGGTTGGTATCTGGTCACTGGTGGGTTTGCCGGTACCATTGGTCACGTTGGTTGGACCCGTGGTGCGACCCGTGTGGTCTTGCGAGTACCCGCATACTCATCTGCTAACTTGGCGGCCTCTGGTAGAGAAAGGGGTCTGCGGTCTCTCACCCAGTCTTTAATATCTGCCTGGATGTGGTCATATAATTTTTCCAGGAGTATTAATTGTAAAATATCATCCGCGGTGGTGGCTTGGCTGCTGTTGACCCAGTTAGATGCCGACAGGTGTAACTGGCAGGCCCATTCTGTATAGGAATCCCTGTCCGTTTTACGTGAGTCTCTGAACTTTTGTCGGTACGATTCCGGGGTTACCGCATAACGAGCCAGCAGCGCTTCTTTAACCCTTGAGTAGCGGTCCACTTGCGTAGCTGTGGATCTCGGTGTGGAGCTTTGCCTGACAACTTCCCTGCCAATATCGAAACCCATTCGTCCGCAGCTACACTGTGCAGGTTACACTGCTGCTCGAAATCTGCTAAATAACTGTCAATCTCGCTGTCCTTCTCATTAAAGGCTTTAAAAGCACTGAAAAGATTTTTTCTTGTGTCTGCTGTGCTGTACTCGCTGTTTGGGGAGTTTACTGCTGCCCGCTGGGCTTCCACCAGTTTCAGTTGCAGCTCTGTTTCTCTCTTTTGTTTAGCCTCTTCCGCTACAATAGGATAAAGTAAAAACAATAAAAGGAAAAAGAGAGAAAGTCCAACTGGTATATTCTTACAGGTGTCTTTGGTTGATGGGGTCTTCTATTTATATGGTGGCTTCACTCGTTATGAAAAATAAAAAGAGGGAGAAGGGACATCCAATGGTGTAGTATGTAAAATTCAGGTATAGACGTAAAAATAATAGTATAAAACTCACATTTACCAGAGCTAATGTCCAGCTCTGGAGTAAAGCGCGAACAGCGGTTTAATCCCCGCTTGTGGGATATAAGCAGGTTCTTCTCCGTGAATGGTATCCAATTCTCGGGATAAAACAAACAGCCAATAGTGCTCACTGTATGGCAAATAATAATAAAATAATAAAAGAAATGTACTTACAAAATAAGAGCAGACCCACTGCTCTTTGATGATAGCTTGGGTGGATTGATCCCCACCTACGGATTTCTTTGGGTACAGGAAACTTCCAGGAATTTTTAGGTTTGTTATAAAACCAGTAAAAATAATAAAATTAACAGTAAAAAGGCCAGGGTAAAAAAGAAAGATATGTGTCTATAAAAAAGATAATTGGCACAAGCAAATGACCAAAAATACTTTAATATATATAAAAAACACAATATTCAAATATCCATAACGCGTTTCGTCACACAAGGACTTTATCAAATGGGATAACATGATTTACCTGGCACATGAATGTTATATAAGAGCATGATTAATTGAATTTTGGCGCCAAAACTTGGTTCATCCAATCAAAATTAAAAACATTTGTACAACTTTAAAATACAAAATAATCTTATTCTACACATAGTTTATAAAGGTACAACTTATTTAAAATATATTTGGTTTAAAAACGAGGGTAAGAAAGTATAGTTTTGGGTGTTAAAAAAAAAAAAAAAAAACACATGACAGGCGGCACTTCCGCTTTTCGGAGGTTCCGCCGCAAAGGCACATGGGAAATGTAGTTGCGATCAGCGGCCACTATAAAAGTCAAATAAAATGAAATATTTGAATTCCCAGATTCATATAATGTGGCAGCAAGGAATAAATTACAAAAACGAAGGGGCTAAATGATTAAAAAAGGCAGGTAAAAAGAGGTCACATGGTTTTCAGCATTAGTAGCCGAAATGCCTCATGGGAAATGTAGTTTGAGTTGCAGCATGTATATTGATGATAGGAAACACCAAATATAGATAATAAGATAGGGCAAAAGCTTTGCAATTGCTTTTTACATTAGTTTGAAAAGGTGGCAAATATGATAATTTATACATTAGTTGAAAGAGGAGCTAAATAATATTAAAAACATAAATTACAACAGATTAACCTTATATTGAAAAGAGAGAGAGCAATCCTAATTAGAGATGCAGATTTGATGAAAGGTGTTATAAATAAATTACAGACTTCAAATAACATAAAAGTTCTAAAAAATAAATAAATAAAATAAAATTGTGCATTTAAAGGTACAGGCTTTAGGTCACATAAAATTTCATAAAAAGTTATAAAAAATTATATAAATCAAAATCTGCACTAAGGCCACGGGGTATAAGGGTCTGAAGTTTATACACCCATTCCATCTCTATTTTTCCAAGTAACTTTTTTGTATCACCTCCTCGCCAGGAGGTGGAACATTTTTTTATACCAATACATTTTAATAGACGGGGATCTTTATTGAGCATAATAAAATGTTTGGATACTGTATGATTTAGGTATCCATTTCTAATATTTCTGCAATGTTCGCTCAGTCTTATCTTTAGGCACCTTGTGGTCATCCCCACATATTGGAGGCCACATGGGCATTCGAGCAGATAAATAACATTTTTGGTATGGCAGCTTATGAAGTCATAAATATCATACACTTTTTTAGTTTGATTTGACATAAATTTTGTAGTTTTTGATGGAATTACATGATCCACAGTTTTACATACGGTGCATTGTTTGCATCTAAAAAAACCTTTTGTCTGAGGGAAGAATGATACATTTTTTAAAGGAGATTTTTTTGTAAAATTTCTAGTTAAAATAGATTTAAAATTAGGTGCTCCTCTAAAAACAATGTTTGGATGAGTGGGTATAATGGGATTGAGTATCTCATCATGTTTAAGTATGTGCCAATGTTTTCTTATTATTTTTTTGACATTGTTGCTTTTGTTATTAAAATTAAAAATAACTGGAAGTGATACAGTTTCATTATTTTCTTTATTTTTATATATCAAAAGTTCTTTTCGTTCTTTTTGTTTGACTGTATTTATTGTGGTATTCAGATCTGGTTCTGAATAATTTTTTTCAATAAATTTGTTTTTTAAAAACTCTGCTTTTGCCCTATCTTATTATCTATATTTGGTGTTTCCTATCATCAATATACATGCTGCAACTCAAACTACATTTCCCATGAGGCATTTCGGCTACTAATGCTGAAAACCATGTGACCTCTTTTTACCTGCCTTTTTTAATCATTTAGCCCCTTCGTTTTTGTAATTTATTCCTTGCTGCCACATTATATGAATCTGGGAATTCAAATATTTCATTTTATTTGACTTTTATAGTGGCCGCTGATCGCAACTACATTTCCCATGTGCCTTTGCGGCGGAACCTCCGAAAAGCGGAAGTGCCGCCTGTCATGTGTTTTTTTTTTTTTTTTTTAACACCCAAAACTATACTTTCTTACCCTCGTTTTTAAACCAAATATATTTTAAATAAGTTGTACCTTTATAAACTATGTGTAGAATAAGATTATTTTGTATTTTAAAGTTGTACAAACGTTTTTAATTTTGATTGGATGAACCAAGTTTTGGCGCCAAAATTCAATTAATCATGCTCTTATATAACATTCATGTGCCAGGTAAATCATGTTATCCCATTTGATAAAGTCCTTGTGTGACGAAACGCGTTATGGATATTTGAATATTGTGTTTTTTATATATATTAAAGTATTTTTGGTCATTTGCTTGTGCCAATTATCTTTTTTATAGACACATATCTTTCTTTTTTACCCTGGCCTTTTTACTGTTAATTTTATTATTTTTACTGGTTTTATAACAAACCTAAAAATTCCTGGAAGTTTCCTGTACCCAAAGAAATCCGTAGGTGGGGATCAATCCACCCAAGCCATCACAAAAGAGCAGTGGGTCTGCTCTTTCTTTGTAAGTACATTTCTTTTATTATTTTATTATTATTTGCTATACAGTGAGCACTATTGGCTGTTTGTTTTATCCCGAGAATTGGATACCATTCACGGTGAGGAACCTGCTTTATATCCCACAAGCGGGGATTAAACCGCTGTACGCGCTTTACTCCAGAGCTGGACATTAGCTCTGGTAAATGTGAGTTTTATACTATTATTTTTACGTCTATACCTGAATTTTACATACTACACCATTGGATGTCCCTTCTCCCTCTTTTTATTTTTCATAACGAGTGAAGCCACCATATAAATAGAAGACCCCATCAACCAAAGACACCTGTAAGAATATACCAGTTGGACTTTCTCTCTTTTTCCTTTTATTGTTTTTACTTTATCCTGTTTTAGAAAGGGTTTGAGGGATTCCCTTTTTTAAGGTTGCTGCCATAAGTTATTTTAGCGCTGTCTCATTCCTCCTACTTACTATCTTCCGCTACAATGTTCATTACCGTTGGGTTCGGACCAAACCATGCCAATCTCTCCCGAATCTCCTTGTTGGTTGGTGATTCATTTCCATTTTCCATCTCCTGAATGGTTGGTGTTGCAGCAACCAAGTTCTCCCGGTCTAGCTCCATTAACTCAGCAATAATGACCTGCTTGGTTTTGTTGCTAGCAATCCTTCCACGAACTTCCAGTAGTTCTTTTAGCGTGTTTCTTTTAAGCAGGGTGTACCAGCCTTCCAGTCACTGTCCCCAGTGTCTGCTTGGAATCCTGGTGCAAGGGAAAAAACAGAAGGGAAAATCCCGCCGCTGCCAACCAGTTGTGACGGTAGTATACGGTATCACCGTCAAGCATTCCCTTCTTTCCCATAAAAGAAAATTACCCAATACTCCACAAGAACAAATATCCCTGATATCGCCGAATAATCCACATATGAGCCAAAGCTTAATGCAGGAACAAGACTGATTTACTGAAAGCAACAGGCATTCAATTTAAACAGTAACAGACTCCTCCTCTGGGCCAGGCTAGATAACTAAGTTTCAGCAATACACAAAGCTCAATTATCTGCTGGCCAGAAACATTACAATTTTCAAAATTTTCAGAAAAGTACTTTCTATAAGACATACAAATATAACATTAACATCCCTGGGTAGCTGAGGATACTGGTAGTCACATATCCAAATCTCACGAATTTCCGTTCGGTAGTTTCCGCGTCGCACCATGTAGAAGTTTGACCGGCTCGCCATGTGGAGGTTTCCGATTTAGAGTTCCATGAAATCAGCAGCAAGAGCCGGTCTCCGTTCGCATCTAATTACACGAAAACCACCGTTCGTATGGTGCAGCTGGTTACATGCGAATGTTCCCCTCGTTCGGTAGGTTCTATCTACCGAATGCCAGTTTGATTCGTGGAGGGGAACGTATTCAGTCAGGACTTCCATGAGGACCCAGGGTGCTACCCAGGGTGGGTGGTCTCCGTTCGGTAGACGAATACATTTATTCAATACATATTGAAACGAACTGATACAGGCATTTAAACAGCAGGGAGAAGGTATAATTGAAGGCACCCAGGTAAGTACATGAAAATCCTTCACATACATACATATATATTTATATATAGTGTCTCTCTCTCTCTCTCTCTCTCTCTCTCTCTCTCTCTCTCTCTCTCTATATATATATATATATAGTGCGTGCCTCTCTCTCTATATATACACACACACACACATATATATACGTATATATACACACACACAGTCAGGTCCATAAATATTGGGACATCGACACAATTCTAATCTTTTTGTCTCTATACACCACCACAATGGATTTAAATTGAAATGAACAAGATATATACACACACAATATACAAACTATATGGGGGGTAACCCTATATGGGGGGGGGGTGTATATATAGTCTGTATATTGGGGGGGTGAATATACAGTTTGTATATGGGGG